AAGTATATGGTGGAACGGTTAGACCGGTTATGATGGCAGTTGACGGAGTTAACCGGACGGCCTATTATGGAATGAAAACACCAGGTCCGGTACAGATGTATCATCAACATCCTGGTATGGTTGTTCCTGGTGTAGAAGAACAATACAGAACCGAACCGGATTCGGATCCGGGTCGGGCTTCTTAGCTGGTTTAAAGAGAACTGAAAATATCATGTCCGGGTTTTCGTCTTTTTCCTGAAGTCGTGACTCTTCGTTACTGTGTGAACTGTGTAATATTTTGTTTTTCTACTTAAAAAAAAAAAAAATTGTGTAATTTTGTCAATTTTGTATTACATACCATAATAAACGATATTATAATTTGTTAATATATCCCATTTTGTTTGTTAATTTGTTCAATGTTTTTATAATTGTGGAAATTTGAATTTGACTTTTCAAGTAAATCAATCATTAGAGCATCTCACAAAAATCATAGAGTAATAATTTCGTTTACCAGAAAATACAAACATTTTCGACATATTCAACGTTTACGTGAAATTATAGAAGTCCGTTTTTTTTGTTTTCCACTCGAGTCGTTGTCTTCTTCCTGAAGCTTATCCTCTTTCTTCACGCAGATCGGAGATGGAGAAATCCGGCTACGGCAGAGACGGGATTTACCGATCACTTCGTCCTATGCTCGTTCTTCCCAAAGATCCAAACACATCATTAGTCTCTTTCTTATTCCGTAATTCCTCTTCTTACTCGTCCAAGCTAGCTCTCGCCGATTCCGATTCCGGCGATTCCTTCTCCTTCTCAGAGCTCAAATCCGCCGTATCTAGACTCGCTCACGGATTTCTCCGTCTAGGTATACGCAAAAACGACGTCGTATTGATCTTCGCTCCGAATTCTTATCAGTTCCCTCTTTGTTTCCTCGCCGTAACCGCAATCGGCGCCGTTTTCACCACAGCGAATCCTCTTTACACTGTGAATGAGGTTTCGAAACAGGTCAAGGACTCGAATCCGAAGATTATCATCTCTGTTGAGCAACTGTTCGATAAAATCAAGGGATTTGATCTCCCTATTGTTCTACTCGGATCTGGAGATTCCGTACAGATTCCTGAATCAAATTCGAAGATTCTCAGTTTCAATAACGTGATGAATCTCTCTGAGCCAGTTTCAGATCTCCCGTTCGTTGACATTAAGCAATCAGATACAGCTGCACTGTTGTATTCCTCAGGAACCACAGGAACAAGCAAAGGTGTGGAGTTAACTCATGGGAATTTCATTGCAGCTTCTTTGATGGTGACTATGGATCAAGATCTAATGGGAGAGTATCACAGTGTGTTCTTGTGTTTTCTTCCGATGTTTCATGTGTTTGGTTTGACTGTGATTACATATTCTCAGCTTCAGAGAGGGAGCGCTGTGATCTCTATGGCGAAATTCGAGCTCGAGACGGTTCTTAAGAACATTGGAAAGTATAGAGTTACTCACCTTTGGGTTGTTCCTCCTGTGTTTCTTGCTCTTACCAAGCAAAGGAATGTGAAAAAGTTTGATCTTTCTTCACTTAAGTACATTGGATCAGGAGCTGCACCACTTGGGAAAGATTTGATGGAGGAATGTGGAAGAAACATGCCTAATGTTGTGCTTATGCAGGTTTCAGATCCTTTTCTTGTTTTTAGTCCTTGACAATCATTTCCCTTAGGTCTGACTGAGTTTTTGGATAGGCTTAGATGTTAGCTAATTCATCGATGGTTACTCGGACAGAACCAAGCCAAAATGTATAAAGATGTTGTGCAATTTCAATTGTGTTTCTTCAGGGATGATTGTTTGTATTGAATGATGCAAAAGATGTGTTTTTGTGGTGTTTTCTTCAGGGGTATGGAATGACTGAAACGACTGGAATTGTCTCTCTTGAGGACACGAGGCTCGGGAAAAGGAATTCTGGTTCAGCTGGAATGCTTGCTCCAGGAATTGAAGCTCAGATAGTGAGTGTGGAAACTGGAAAATCTCAGCCTCCTAATCAACTAGGCGAAGTTTGGGTTCGAGGACCTAACATGATGAAAGGTAGTTTCAGCATTACTCAGAGTTGCTCGAATCTCCTGGTATAAGCTCTTCCTTTTGTTTAAAAGTCCTGTTAACTGATTCTCTTTCAGGTTATCTCAATAACCCTCAGGCTACTAAAGAAACAATAGATTCAAAGGGTTGGGTACATACCGGAGATCTTGGTTACTTCAACGAAGATGGTAACCTTTTCGTTGTTGATCGAATCAAAGAACTTATCAAATACAAAGGCTTTCAGGTTTGTCTTCTAAATTTTCCAAAAGCGCCAAGATTGAAATAAATGCAATGAAAATGATAATGAATGGTTTGATTTATTATAGGTTGCTCCGGCTGAATTAGAAGATCTTTTAGTATCACATCCCGAAATACTAGACGCTGCCGTAATCCCGTGAGTCATATTCACAAATTCAATACATCAGAAAATACCGAGATTTGATTCCCGGTCCTAAACACATTAATGGTGCAGGTTTCCTGATGAAGAAGCTGGTGAAGTTCCAATTGCATTTGTTGTCCGGCCACCAAATAGCTCAATAACAGAGAAAGATATTCAAGATTTCGTAGCTAAACAGGTTTTTAATAACTTATGCCTCAAGTCTTTCGACTTTTGTCTGAATCGATCTTGGTTATAAAGATCTATTGATGTTCTTTTTACTTTCAGGTTGCTCCTTACAAAAGACTACGACGAGTAAGCTTCATTAACAGTGTTCCAAAATCTGCTGCTGGTAAAATCCTGAGAAGAGAACTTGTTCAGCAAGTAAGATCTAAGATGTGAAGAAATTTTTTCATCAAATCATTTTCAAATTAAATGGTATCACAAATCACAAAAAAGTGAAAGAAAATAAAATAATACAAAACCAAAGTCATACACTGTTCTTTTTTTCAACAAACAAGCCATATATAAATTTGTAATGTTCTTTCAAAGGTAGCAAACTT